AATAGTCAAAACCGGTAAAATAAATTATAAAAGATATCCAAACAAAATTTATATTTATTACTGACTTGATATATTGAGTCTGGTACAATTATCATGTTGTATTAAATAAACTAACAATATTTTAATAATAAAATATTAATCTATAGTATATCCCGTGCATCGCACAGGTATCAACACTAGTATATATTAAAGAAATATAATTTTTTTAAATATTTTATTAATATATAGTTAACAAAATATATTTGTTATATTTTTTATTTTTGGATTTTTTATTTTTTATTTTCCTATTTTTATTATTATTTTTATTATTATTATTTTATTTTTTATTCATTTTGCTGATGTGTCTTTATATTTATTTATTTTTGGATTTTTTATTTTATTTTTATATTTTTTATCTATGTGCAGTTGTGTATTTGGAGATAATGATGCCACATCACGTCACGTATATAACACGTAGGAAATTAAGGAAAGTTATAATGCCACATCACTACCTAATCCGACCACGTCAGCTTTTTTATCAGGTAGGGTGATTAATGTATCTTTTTTGACCAAATCATCAACTACATGTTTCTTTTCCGTGAGGGACGACAAAATGTCTCTTTTGTTGTCAACGCCTAACTTGATATATCATTTTTAAATATTTGCCAGCATTCACCATCATCATATATTCATCGAATAACTTAATTTAAATAGGTTATTCATAATAAATATTTTTTTAACATGTTTTTTGGATCTATGCCTAATGTTAAAATGAACTAATACGTATGGTTATGTAAACTAATACTACCGCCTTAAAAACATAGTAATGATATGTAGAGTTCAAGATATTAAATATATTTAAGATATATTAGAGTATGGTTGAGCGTAGTTGATGTTATATATTTTTAAATATCGAGTAGAAGAATATTAATTCTTTTTAAATTTCCAAACGGAATGATTTAAGTAAGTTGCCATTTTTATTTTCCATTCTTAAAATTAACCAAACATAATTGAATATGAATTTAGTATGTTAATGCATTTCCCATTATTATTTTTCATTCTTAACAAAAATAATTAACCTTACAATTAATTATCCAACCAAATGTAGAAATGTTGCCAAATATAGTCATTGCATATCATCTATATTTAGCAATAAATTCCATCAACTCCCTCTTTATATATATATAGATTTACTAGTTTTGATCGGATGAGATAAGGTTGGTTAACCAACATTATCTCTCGTTTACTAAATAGGGTTGGGATAATGATACATATGACGTGACCTGAGTTGACGGGATACGTATCCTTATTGGCGGGATAAAAAAAATCCAGCCATTATGGTGTGTAAAATTATCCTTGGTCTTAAATGACCTTTATTTAATCAAAAATATTTTTGTTTAATTTAAAATAATATTATTTAATCTACAAAATATTAATTTTAATAATTTAATATAATACAAAAATTATTGTTTAATATAAAATAATTTAATTTAATTTAAAATAATATTGTTTAAATGTATTAAATATTAATTTAAATATATTTTCAATAAAAAATATTGTTTAATTTAAAATAATTTAACATAATTTAAATTATTATTATTTAATTTATAAAATTTTAATTTAAAATAATTTTATCTAATCTAAAATACTTTTAATTAATCTATAAAATATTATTTAAATAATATTATTTAATTTAAATAATATTTTAATATAAAATAATTTTATCTAATATAAAATAATATTGATATAATTTATAAAATATTAATTTAAATAATTTTATTTAATCTAAAATAAATTTATTTAATATAAAATAATAATGTTTAATCTATAAAATATTAATTAAATTTATTTTATTATATTTAAAAATTGTTTTTAATATAAAATATTTTTATTTAATATAATATAATATTATTTAATTTATAAAAATATTAATTTAATTAATCAAATCAGTAATTTTATTATTCATCATAGACTTTTATTCATTTTGGTAAACATGTGACAATTTTTATTCAAAATCTGATATGGCAAATTGGATGGATTAATTTTTAAAATCCCATCATCTCTAGTAAAAGAGGCTTGTATTAATTTATAAAATAATAGTCCATCGTGTTCACATGTAAAGATACAAATAAAATATTATGCACCATATACATGTATGTAGAATTAAAAGTTATAAGTTGATGTGTTCACATGTAAAGATACAAATAAAATATTATGCACCATATACATGTATGTAGAATTAAAAGTTATAAGTTAGATAACGACTATATCACATTTTAAAGTTTAACAATATATAAAATTGAACAATATAATATATAAATTGCCTAACTTACACATATGAATCACTTTTATTTATGACATAAATTATGATAAGTAATATAATAATTATGATTTTAAGAGATTGATCGCGACATATTAATTAACTGAAAATTATTATTATTATTATTATTATTATTATTATTATTATTATTATTATTATTATTATTATTATGTACCGAAACGTGTGTAACTGAAAAATATTGGGTTGAAAAGTCAAGAGTCCATTAATTACTGTAACTAAAAATGTGCTGAGATTATGTAAAAAAATTCCAAATTTAACAAAAGCAAAAGCAAAATATGAATATAGATAGATAGGGATAGATATCACAATGCATTGATGGTTAAAATAAGAGAAAAAAATTTAATTACTATATGTGTGTAACCGATAATTGAATAGAGTTTTATTAAAAACTCTACTTATAGTAATATATGCATATATAGATATTAATGGTCCATATTCAAACAAAGTTGACATTATTTATTAGAAAACACAGTACTATTTACGAGTGCAACTTTTGTCAATACTATTTTAATGGAGACTGTCTCCTTACGGAATCATTTCGTCGTGGTTAATTTGTAACCGTTAGATCAATTATTCACGACGGTTAAAATTATTCGTGTTATTTATTTTCACTGTATATTTGAATTTATGGTATTTGTGTAAAAATCTGGATATTTACGTACCTAAAAATTCTAACACGATCCTTTTTAAATGAGAAAAAAAATCTTATTATGCTTCTTAGATCTTTTAATTCTCAGGCTTTCTCGCTCGTATTATCCGTGTTCCTAGCCTAAAAAAAAAAAAAATCTCCCATAATCTGTAAAACTTCATTTTTATAGTAAAATTTAAAATAAAAAATCTTCATCATAACTTCATAAAATTAATTAAAATGAATAAAAAATATAAACCACAACAAATTCGTAAAAAAAAAAAAAAAAATTATCATTTCAAAATAGACGTAAAAACTCGTGTCATAACCATATATTAGTTTAAAAACTATAAAATTTGGTTAACATTAAAAAAAAATGGGTTAAAAAAATGGATAGATATTTTTAGGCTGAAGATTTTATATCGTAAAAAACAAATTAATTTGACCAGTGCAAAAATAATCGCCTCTCATTATAACAAAGGAAAATGTTACGGTCCCGTTACGGAACCATTCCGTCGGGATTTGTAACCGTTAGACACATTATGTTACAAACCTCGACGGAATGGTTCTGTAACGGGACTGTCGCATTTCCCATTAACAAAACCTATATTATTATCAAGTGTTATTTTCTGTATCGTGCCCGGTGCCCTGGCTTAACCGCTGTTATGTATATTATATACCACACATATCTGAGGCTAGAATCAGGTGGTCCAGCGTTCATCAGTTCAAGTGGTGTTCCCTAATTAGTCTTTTTCTTTTTCAATAAATAAAATAAAATAATACCCAAACAAAATTTCTAAATGGCACTAGTTCACAATATTATGAATTTCCCGCCTAGTTCCCGTCCAGTTACATCTGTATTTGTTCGTCCGAGAAAGATCATAAATTACAACAAACTTTCTCGTCGGCTTTCATCTCAACAACAATGTATAATTACCCACGAATATGATCAGCTCCAACAATATCCGACTCGCGACTTTTCGGCTCACTACGAACAAAGGCTAGAGGACGTAAGGCGCTTATTGGAAATCGATCTACTAAATGACGAGAGCTTGATTTTGGTAGATGCAATCCAGCGGCTAGGGATCAGCCGCCATTACAAGGAGGAGATTCATGCGATTATCGAGCAGCATCACCTGATGAAGACTCATGGCCGCCGTGGGACCCACAAATTCGAATATTGTCGCTCGTTGCGTAATGTTTCCCTTTCGTTCCGACTATTGCGACAACAAGGCTACCATGTATCAGCTGGTAATTAATTAATTATTACGCACCATAATAATAAACAACCCTTTTTGTTTTTCCATTAATGTTAGCAAATTCATCGATAGATAGTACATTAATATCGATCTGCAGACGTCGTGTTTAGCAGTTTCGAAGACGAGCACGGGAATATTAAGAGGGACACTAAAGCAAGATATCAAAGGGTTGTTAGAATTATTCGAAGCTACACATGTAAGTTTCGAAGGGGAAATAATACTCGACCGGGCACAAGACTTTAGCCGGCAACATCTGGCTAATGTTATGGACCATAATAAATATTGGTCGAATATCGTTAGAACGAGATTAATGCATCCTTATCAGAAAAGCATTCCAAGAATGATGGAACGTAATTTCATAAGTGGTGATTTTTACTGCATGAACAATGTATGGGGAAGTACATTATGGGAGTTGGCCGAAATGGATCTTCTCGTTGGACGATGCGTATACCAAGAAGAACTTGCTCGATTTTCCAAGTAAGAAAATCCAAAACCGAGTCGTGTAAAGTCAGAGCATATTAAAGTTTTTGCTTTAATTTTCTAATATATAATTAATGCGCTAAATTTCGTTAGGTGGTGGAGTAGCTTAGGTTTAACCGAGGAGCTTAAGCTAGCAAGAAGCCAGCCGCTAAAGTGGTACACTTGGTCCATGGCCCTCCTCATGGACCATCTCAGCTTATCTCAACTGCGCCTCCAAATTTCAAAGTCCATTGCCTTTATCTACATAATCGACGACATTTTTGATCTCTACGGAACACCACACGAGTTATCGGCCTTCACAGATGCCATCGACAAGTAATATTTTATATTTATATATAAATGAACCCCAATAATATTTCAATATTAAGTTCTTACAGTCGATCATGTATGATTGTTCGATTGCAGATGGGATTATGCCTCCATAAATATGTTACCTAACTACATGAAGTCATGTTACAAAGCGCTTTTAGACACGACTAATGAAATAAGCAAAACCGTGTACGAAAAGTACGGATATGACCCCATCAACGACCTGAAACAAACGGTACTTGACGTTTTAGTTTGAAAGTGTATGTATATTGCTGAAAAAATATGACCGTCTAATCATTAGTGTTGTGAAACGATGACAATATAGCATACGAATTAAAAAACGAGAAAGTAAACAACACAAGATTTACGTGGTTCGGCAATGTGCCTACGTCCACGGCGGCTGAGGGATCTTTTATTATTCTCAATCGTATCAAATACATCAATACACCATGTATTTATACTAAAACCCTACAAGGTATAAATTTACTTAAATACCCTGTACCGTACCGCGGGGGCTCTGCCCCCGCACCCCCGTCTATACCGCGGGGGCTCCGCCCCCGCACCCCCGGCCCAACTAATCGACCCAGCCCAACAAGGTCCACTCCGCTCACTTCGCTCGGTCGCTCCGCTTCCCTCGCTACGTTCGCTCCGTTACGCTCGCAGGCATCAGCCTGCCCTTTTCCTTTGTCAATATATGAGCCATACCAACAATTAGGCAGTACTTTGACTGATAAATTTTGATTGATCTGTCTATTCTTACATATGTATTCTGCATTTTTGGGCAGTGGAAAGATTTGTGCAGAGCATTTTTAGTGGAAGCAAAGTGGTTCGGGTCGGGGGATTGGCCCGGACCCGAAGAGTATTTGGATAATGGCAAGGTTAGCTCAGGGGTGCATGTGGTCCTAGTCCACTTGTTCCATCTCTTGGGCCTGGGTACGAGTCGGGCCCATCGAAACGGAACCTATTTGAAGGCCTTATCGACAGTGATCATATCATGCGTAGCTACCATACTTCGTCTTTGGGATGATTTAGGGAGTGCCAAGGTGCCATTTATATCCCCTAACGGGATGGTAGCATTCTCCGAGAAATAGTTTTTTACTATTTATATATTAAAATAGATATTTAAAGGTTTAACCATGATTAAATTAACAGGACGAGTATCAAAACGGCAATGATGGATCATACGTGGAGTATTATATGAGGGAACACTCGGATTTGACACGTGGGCAAGCACGGGAGCACGTGATAAATATGATCGAAAGCGAATGGAAAATTCTGAACAAGGCGTGTTTCGATCTCGACCGTTCATCACCATCGCTTATATTTCAAGAAGCGTCTCTTAATCTTGCGAGGATGGTGCCTCTCATGTACGGTTACGATGAGAATCAACGGCTCCCAATCCTCCACCAGTTTTTGGAGCACGTGCTTTTTGTTCCCACATCCTAGATTTAACAACGTTTTTAATTTTCATTTCCTCCAAAGTGTCAAAACCATCAAAAGAGAGATGTATATTTGGGAAGATGTTACGATCTCGTTACGGAATTATTATGTGGGGTTTGTAACTATTAGATCAACTATGTTCGACGGTTACAAAATAATCTAATAATTACAAATTCCGACATAATATTTTCGTAACGGACCGTAGCATTTTTCCATATTGGTTTCAATTGTTATAAACCGCAAAGAGAGGGAGAGAGAGAGATATTGTTGAAGAAAAAGTTTTTATTAATCACCACAGGCACATGTATTGTTGATTTGTTAAAAATAGTTTCCAATAATTAAATGGGCTTATTTATTGGGCTAAATTAGCCTAAAGGTTTACTAACCCAATACAAATTGATTGGGCCGCTACAATATTCCATGTGTCTACATAAACCAAGCCATCATTCCCATCTATAACGCAATTTTCTCGTGTTCGGTTTACTAAAATTACTACAAATAGATTGCAAGCGAGTCGAGCTTGACCGAGCACGAGCCGAGCCTATGCACCTCGAACTCTAACTTGAGCTCGTATGTTATAAATTTGAGTGCTCGACAGGCCGTTCTAGTATAAATATAATTTGCAAAAATGTTTCTAACTCGAGCAAAGTTCGAGATAAACTCAAGACAAACTCAATGTTAAAAGTTCGAGTTGAGTTCGAGTTAATGAAAGTTAAGCCCCTCGAGCATGTGTATACTTTTAAGAGTCTAATTGTGCTCATCAAGCTCGAGCATTAACTGCACCATGCTGACACAAAACCGAACCGCATCGAATTTTTTGTGGTTTTTGAGAATTCAAATCACACCGTAAACCAAATACTGTAGAAATTGGACCAAACCACACTAGCTGAATACATCGGTTCGACTCGATTTTTCAATTTCGGCTCAGTTTTGCGTGAAAAAAATCAAGCTTAACTTGATAAGGCTAGTACTCGACTCAACTCTGTTGCAGTTTAATCCATGTGCTAGAAGAATTTAAATTGTGTAGAGAAATAATTGTGTAAACTAAACAAGAATGCGCGTAAAACAAGATTAGGTGAAAAATCAGGCACAAAAGGTTCATTAAAGGACATAATGATGCTTATTAATTGACTTGTACCAAGCGTGCAAACTACTCTTCCCCCAAACAATCAAAACGTATTTTTTTTTCATATTATTGAAATATCCCCACATTTATTTAATATTAAAAGTTACTATATATTAATAGGAGACGAGGACGAATACGTTAAAGACAAAAAAAATCAGCAAATTAGTTCTTACATCATATTTTAACTAAGGCCTAATTTTTTAATTGCTAAGTCATGTAATTATGAGTTCTTTTTAGGTCCTAGAAGTAAAAGTAAATTATTATATATACATGACCATATGCATATTATTATATAAGATCCAAATTAGCTTGAGAAATGATTTAGAGATATGTTTGATAATCTAACTTATAATTTATTTAAATAGCTTTCAAGATTTATATATTAAAAAGGCCACATTTGATAAATAGGATGAATTGTAAAAAGTCCGAGCTTATCCCAAGGTACCATCTCAAAAGTTTATTGAATTTTTTGTTAACCTATTTTATTTGACGCTTTCATTATATATCAATTAGATATTCAACAATCAACCACAAGCTATTAGTTCGAAATTAACTTATAATGTATCTAATTAAGAGGGCAACGGTGCGGTTCGATGTAAAGCTGCATAGAACCGCAAAAACTTGAAAACCGAACTTACGAAATAAAAAATAATCGAACCACACCACCACATTGAAAAATATGAAAAACCGAACCGTACCAAAATTTACGAATCGACTAGGTTTTTTTATTTTTCCTCAATTTCAATGTATATATATCAAATTTGGTGTGGTTCGATGCAAAACGTATTGAACTAAAAGAAAAAAAAAAAAAAAAAAAAAAAAAAAAAAAAAAAGCAAATCAAACTTGCGAAAAATAGTACTCGAACTGCAGTGCCGTGTAGATAAAAATAAGGGGGGAAAAACAAATCAACAAATGATATATATCCTCTCGAAGTATATAGTTGAAGAAAAAGCTATTAATTAACTCACTAATTTTGGCTTGTAGAAACTATTTTGTTGAAAGTTAATCATTATGTAAACCATGTTTTTAAATAAGTTAATCTTTAACAATCAATTAAAAAGAAAAAACTTAGTCTAAAACTTGTTTACATGTACATCTCTAGATTTAATTACTCTAATAATTTTTTTAAAAATTGCACTATACAAAAATTGTAGAGAAAAAAAAAATAAATAAAAAAACATGGACATGTCTTGTGTCAGATTCTTACCCAGGACTAATTTGAACCATGAGATCAAACAAACACATACACCCATACACATCAATTATAAGAAAAATATGAAATTTCAATGAATATGTCAATGAAACTCTAATGTCATTTCAATGTTGTAATTTTTCAATAAATTATAACAAAACTATGTCGTTGAAACGAGTTTTCTATTGAAATATTTCTTTGGATTTTGATTATTTCAACTGTAAAATTTCTAACGGTTGAAATATAGCTTAACAAAAATTTCAACGAAAAATTCTTATAGTAATAACAAATGAAAAATGGTCATTGGAATCGCCAAATTATAACTAAATTTTCAAACGAAAACTTATTCCAACTGAATATTTCCATTGAAATTTTTGTTGAAATCATTCAAATGGAAGTTATACTATTAAAATATCCATTACAATTTTTATTAGAATATTATCCCGTTGTAATTTTTGTTGAAATATAGTAGTTTTATTTTAATGATATATATGCATAACGATTCAAGCCTCGGTGTGTACACTATAATTGAAATTTTTTGTAACTTATTTAAGGAGCGATTGGATATAAATAAAATCGGTTTTGATTATTAATTGGTTAAAATGAGTTAACGTTGAATAAAACTGATTAAGTGGAGGTTTAAGTGCATTTTGAGTTTGTATTTTATTTAAAAATTTAATGACTAAAGTTGATGTGATGCAAAAATATGAGACAAGTTATTGATAGTTAAAAATATGTGAGTGAATAATGAATTAAAGTTGTTGTGATTCGTGAGAATGATGTTAAATATTATTTGATTATATTTATAATATTAATTATTAATATTATTTGATTATATTTATAATATTAATTAGTAGAGTATCTTGAGTTAAGAATTGTTGATAAAATTTTGCGAAATTGTATCAACAAGAATGTAAATAATTAATTAATTAACGGGTAAGTAAAAAAAAAAAAGTTTATTTTTTTGTCCCCAATATATTTCCTATCCTAAATTCATATTACATAGTGAGAAAACCTTTGTGGGGCCCTCTGAATGCAATCTCAAGTTGACAAGTCATAATGACGTTACCAATATGTCATGGACTCATGGTCACCTTATTAGCACAATGGCCCTGTTGTTTAGGAAGATAGCAGATTGGACTTAATTGAGAGGTTTGACTCGTCAAATTTGTTATTAAGTTTATTTCATAAATAACTTATTTGATAAATTTTTTGGGCCCAAAATATTAATTTAGAAAAAGCTCATTAGAGCAGCGTTTTGGGGATAGAGGATCCAAAAAATCATATTTACTTTGAACTTTTTAATTTCTATTATTTATTTTACAATCTACATTGATTTATGGTACTAATAAATAATAATATATAATCCATATGATTAATTTATCTATAAAAAAAGTAAAATTCATAACTTTTTCATCAAGTGTTAGTAAATTTTAAACAAAAATAATATCTTTATAAATTACCAACTAAAGAATATTAAATATTTTAATATATTATTATTAAAAGAATACACCATAAATAATAAAATGTTCTTACTGGTCATTTTGCAATGTCAAACAACTATAAACGTCAGCTATTTACCAAACACTTATTTAAAACCGCTAATGGAATCCGCTGGTCAAATCAGCTAATATAATTCGCTATCCGCTAATACAATCCGCTATCCGCTAATCACCAAACAAGGCCAATATATTAGCAGTCTCATAGAATAATATTAATACATCATGCATAATGAGTAATATGGTCTTTTTAATTAGTAAGGTCTATTGTTAAGCGAATCTAACGGTTAGACATATATAATTTTCCAACTGGTGTGCATAATTCCAAACAAGCACTTCATGTTATAAAGTTATAAAAAATAAAATTAAAATCATAAATTTGATCATACCATAATTAAATATTTTAAATTATAATCTATATATATATATATAATTCCAAATCTCACAAGAAGTAATTTAATTTAATTTATTTTGATGTCCTAATTTTCACATGTGATGCCCACACGCCTAAACTCTTGAAAAAGAATGAAAAGATAGACTAATAAGTCAACCAAGTCAGACTAATAATGACTTGCGTAGAACTTATTTGAGGTGCAAAAAGCATTTGTTACTACTTTATTAAATTTCAAACCATTGAAAATAATGTGATATATATGCTACACAACACATAATACTTGGCTGATTAAATAATATTTGGATTAATTTCGAACTTATCCATTCTATTATTATAAAGTAGTACTAAAAATCCTCATTTTTTAAGTAAGTTTATAATAGTAAATGAGTAAATAATAAGAGACAATATTATCGGACACTTAGTATAACGACCTTATGAAGGCGCAAAATATCGATAAGACTTTACAAGCTGGTGAGCTTGTAATTAATCTGCTCGTTTGATATTTTGAGCTCGTTTAACTAATTAGTCGAGCTGTTCTCGACTCGTTAAAGCTCGAAAATATACCTTTTTGTTCAATTGTCTGTAGTTCAACTCGTTATAACTTAAGTTCGACTCGTTAAAATTTAAAATTCAGCTCGTTTATATTAATAAACGAGTTGAATACTAGCACAAATATCAGGACCTAAAACTCGACTCGGCTTGTTTACGTATAATTACAATTGAAATGACTTTTAATCAGCACTAGTTCCACAATATTTTTAGAAAAAAAAATTAAATAAAATTATTCCATCCATTTATTTTTCATAGAAAAATTGATTGGCTTATTATTATTACCAGAAATGCTACTGTTCTCTTTCCGTGTGGGCTTGTCTTTTATGCCCACGCCACCGACTGCCACGTGCCACCGTGGTACCGCTAATATGTCTGCTATTGTCGTTTTTACCCTTTTGTCGTTTATCGCGCATCAACGTGACGCTGGGTTGACGTCATTATGTCAATTTAAATCTTTAAGCAGCATATATGAATAATCGAACAAATATTTGTTACAAAATATTCAAAACATCACATTTATATAACATTACTTTACATTAAAAAAATATTAATTATCCAACTATATCTCTATAATCAATAAAACAATTTTACTCAGACCAAATTATATTCACCCTAACTTACTCGTATTCTTAGATTCTGAAAAAAGAATTATAATAAATTAAGATAAAAATGTTTTTTTTTTTATTTTTTGGGTCAAATTTACAATTATTCATTTAATTTTTAAAACTAGAGAAAATAATAAAATTATTTGAAGAATCTAGAAATACATTATATTGAGACAAAAATAAAAATAAAATGCATTCAAATTAGGCCAATGGAACAAAAAATCAAACACAAATAAAATATAAAAATCTATTTCTTTCATTTTGCCATTGTCTTTCCACCTACAACCCAAAAGGTTAATTTTGTAATTTCACCCATCAAGGGCCAGCACACACTTGTATAGGACAATTGGACAAATCATATAGCTAGTCATTGAGGGTCAAATAAATAATAATTGTATTTGTTTACAAACAGAACATTATAAATACATGTAATATGACAAACATATAATCCAAGGGAGAGTAACTGTATATGCATTTTGCTTAGGGAAAAGACCGGGAACCATTCTGTCTGAGTTTATGACCGTTACATCATCACGTAATCGTCAAAAATAATTGATCTAAAAATTACATATACCGACGGAATAATTCCGTAACGGGATCGTAACACCTCTCTATTCCATAATCTATTTAATAATTCGTATGTTGGCTTAGCGAGACTAAGCGAATCTAAGTAGGATTTAACTTTAATTAAATTGCAATCATTACTTTTTTGAAGTTAGAAAAATTTCAATTAAATCTTGTTCCATATCAAAATTAATTAAATAAAAAGACACAATTATTAAAATATTGAGATATGCAAAGATAATCCAACGCGACATTAAATAAAAGTCTCGTTTTATATGCCTTGTGAGAACGTGTGGCTCAGAATGTTTCAGATGTCAATTAAGGCTGCTTAACGAACCTTGGCGAATGATTAAATTATTAATTATTGATTATGAATTATTAATTTAAATATTAACATTAAGATTATCTATTTTTTTTTTTAACTATATATCTTTGTGGATAGGAACAGAAGAAATAAAAAAAAAAGTATAAAAGGGCTGTCACGATCGTAGCTTTGACTACCGGGACCCAACAATAGGCCCAATATGTTTGACCCATGCCGCGCATGCGGATGATGGGCCCAGGCCCTTTTTAGCTACCCGTTTCAAAATTACACGGGTCTTGCTAAGCATTACTACCCCGGTTTCACCAACCCACCACAATGTTAATATTATTATTATTTTTATTTGTTAAAATAATGTAAATGATAATAAAAAAATTGATTTTAATGACGTCATAAAGAGCCGAGTTCAATTTATTAACTAATCAAACAATATACGAACTCGAAAAAAAAGTAAACTCGTTCATCAAAATTAACGAGTCGAAATTGAATTTCAACCAAGTGATCTTATAAGGTAACAATTTGAAAAATTGCATAAGCGAGCCTTAACGAGTGCTGAACGAGTAACTAAATGAGCTCGAGTTTGACTCATTTATCAAACGAGTCAAGTCAAACTTGATATTTAAGGAGTTGAGTAGACTCGGGTCGAGCCCATAAATGACACGATTCGTTTAACAGTTCTATACACGGGCACAAAAATTCTAATTTATAGAGTTTACCTAACTGACTAACTTGTCATCAAAATATTGATTGAATATATTAGATATTTTTTTATCTTAAGTCAACTGGACATAATATCATGCTATTTTACCTTTAAACTTTTGTCAAAGTCAACGTTGAAGAGTATATAAACCATCAGCATTTTAGTGGCTAATGCCTGAAGAAGAATGTAGTTGATTAAGATATTTGAACTTAATAAAATGATATATATATATATGTATATTATTGAACAAATACCATCAATATTAACTATTTAAGTATTTATTTACAAAAAAAAAATGGATTGACTTTGCAAATAACCATTTTCAAATGACATTGAATTTGAAGTTCCAAAAAAAAAAAAAATGATATACATTTACAATAAGACTATATTTTTATACAAATAAAAAAGATTATGATATTTACAATATAAATAAGCATTATGTTTAAAATGAAAATGAAATGTTGACTAGTTAATAATCGAAAAGATGACCAGTCGATTACTTAAAAATTAAACAGTCTCACAATAGTATTGGGCAAATTAAAAAGAATTGTAATATTTTTAGCCAATATTTTTATGGTATTCTAACTATATAAAATACGGTTTAACTGCCTACATACATAGATTACCCAATTAGTACCCAAATTGAAGGAATAATGTAGCTGAATCTTGAAAGTGAAGTGACCAAAAGATAGTCATGAAATTCCTGGTCATCTGTATTTAAAAAAAAAAATATAATATATATATATATATATATATAAACTAGATTGAAGAATTTTCATTATATCATGCCCTAAAAAATAAAGTTATACTATTATTCTTTCCAGACATTGGCCCCATATCACTATATATATTCAGACAAATAGACTAACATTTAACAAGAAAAGTAAAATGAAATAAACCAAACAAATTAAAAAAAGAAATATGAAAAATTCAAGATAGAGATGTGTTATTCGAGACCAGCCGAGCTGAGTAGCTCGTGTTCGAATTCGTGATTGTGTATTAAACGAGTCGGCTCACTCTATT